GTCAGGTATGGATGCCAAGTGGTTTGTGGGGGGAAGGCTTTGTGGTTTGCACCCTGGAAGCTCTCTGTAAGTTGCACTCTTTTCTAGTACGGGGAACTCTTTGTAGGTTGCACTCTATTCTAGGACGGGGAACTCTTTTGTAGGTTGCACTCTATTCTAGGACGGGGAACTCTTTGTAGGTTGCACTCTATTCTAGGACGGGGAACTCTTTGCAGGTTGCACTCTATTCTAGGACGGGGAACTCTTTGCAGGTTGCACTCTATTCTAGGACGGGGAACTCTTTGCAGGTTGCACTCTATTCTAGGACGGGGAACTCTTTGCAGGTTGCACTCTTTTGGACGATCACTGGACCCTGATCTGAGGATTGGTAGAAGCTGCAGATGACATCAGAGGGTATTTTTGCTGGTTGTTGAGGGAACCCCAGATAACAATATTTGTTTTATCGGAGCAGGTGATGTTTTTTAGTCCCCCGCCCACATTTTACACAGTTAGTTTTAGTAATAACATATCAGCATAGACGTGACCCCTTTCCGTGGTGGTTGGTGGACTATTGCCCCCTTTCCGTGGTGGTTGGTGGACTATTGCCCCCTTTCCGTGGTGGTTGGTGGACTATTGCCCCCTTTCCGTGGTGGTTGGTGGACTATTGCCCCCTTTCCGTGGTGGTTGGCGGAATATTGCCCCCGTGCCGTGGTGGTCAATGTAGGCACCTGCATAGGAACCGCTAGCAACCTCAGTAGGAACCCGGGTTGAAAAGGGCAGTTTTAGAGGAATCCTTTGTCCGTGGCGCTTGGGAGGGGCCACAGCCGGCATCAGTGGACATTTTCCTGGTATTGGTAGATTGCGCGGTGTTGGAGGGGCATTGGTTTGTGAGGCTCCTGCTGTGTGAGTTAAGTTTTGGGGTCTCAATGACGGGATGCTAGGAAGGGGGTCTTCCTGCGGATGGGGCCCTTGTGGGGGCGCCTTTGGGAAGGTTTCTGTAGTTTGAGGTGACGCTGGCAGTTGGCACCGGAGGGCGGGCCCTTCTTTAGGTTGGTGGGGTTGTTCTGTAGTATAGGAAGTGAGATTTGTCTCCTTGTGATTCGGGAATGCGCGTTGGTTGCGGTGGGTGCTGCATGCGTGGCAGAGTAGCTCATGCAGCAAATTCTGCTGCAAGCGTACCGTGGATTTTGACGACACGTTTTGTACACAGTTTGCTGGCCACGCTTGGCGTGTCGCACGTTACAGGCTTGTGTGAATATGTCTGTGCACATGTTTGGGGCGTGTTTATGCCGCAGGAAGGTGTGAATGGGGACTTGTTATATGTGGGGGTTGTGTGTGTATACAATGCAGCGGGGTTGTGTGTATACAATGTAGCGGGGTTGTGTGTGTATACAATGTAGCGGGGTTGTGTGTGTATACAATGTAGCGGGGTTGTGTGTGTATAAAATGTAGCGGGGTTGTGTGTGTATAAAATGTAGCGGGGTTGTGTGTGTATACAATGTAGCGGGGTTGTGTGTGTATACAATGTAGCGGGGTTGTGTGTGTATA